GACGCTCTTGGGTAGGGTTCCTGAGCCCTGTTTCTGGCTCAGCATTCCCAGAAGTCAGAGACTGAGAGGACGGCTGGTTTTGTCGGTCGGAGAAGGATGTGACTGGTCGTGCCGTGGCCGCCATGCCCTCTGGCTGATCAGCTTCCGCCAGGATCTTCTCTCTTGCCTCCGATTCTGCAAGCTCGGTTCTTATCATTAGTTCCTCTCTACGAAGCCGAAGATTCAGCTCCTCCAATTCGATTTTACGTTTCTCCTGCAGAAACGAGGCTCGTGCCAGCAATGCAGCTCTTTTTGTCGCTTCAATAGCTCGCAGTGAGCGCACTGAGGCGGCAGAGGCGGAAGTGTGACAAGAGACAACTGACTCGCCACACACGGATTGGTCATTCAACGCCGCCTCAGTTATGGAGTCGTTATCTTGTCCGTTGTTGTAATCGGCGTCTTCTCGGTTCCTGCTAGAACCATCGTCCTTTTCATATCTCATAAGCTCTTGCAAACGTCGAACTAGAACGGCCTTCGTGCCCTTAATATTTGCGTGTCTCTCCCTCAGTCGCTCTTTCAACTCACTCACGGTAAGTCTGTCAAGCTTGTCCATTTTGTGACTTCCGCCAGTTGCGTCCGATTAACCAATCAAATGCAGCACAGTGCACACTGGTCGGAAACGCCCTCACGAGAGGCCACGGGCGATTCCGGAGTTTCGGATTATTTTTTATATAGATCGATTTGAAATTGATCAAATTATTATACTTGGGCCAAAAAAACTAATCCGGGTGACCAAAAATGCCTGTAATCAGCCCCCGAAGATGGGGTATCCCAGAACTCGGAAACTGACGCGGAGCAAGAGGTTTCTTGAGCCGGATATTCAGAGTCTTATTGCTGATAGACACCAAACTGAAATCCCACACATTATGCATCAAAATGTTCGTTATGAAGTTGCCGACTGGTCAGTGCAAAATTTTTGGTATACTTTTTCCCTAACTAAGATGTACTATAGTTTTTTAATAAGGCTCTCCTACAGTGATTCTGGAATATAACTGCAAAGTTTAGGTAAGGAAACAACAGGTAGTCCCATCTAGTTCCACTCTGATTTTTTGTGAGATGAAGTAGGATTTAAATTTACACCAGGGCAACATAAAAGCTAACTGCGCATATTTGCGCAAAATTTGCAGGAGCCGCTCTTCCTACCCAACTACCGCCCGCCCCGCCCCAGTTTCGGCTCGGCCGCCGCGCCCGGCTTACGCTGACCTGTGTGGCCTGCACGCATCCATGCGTAGTTGACTGGTCATTAAAAACAGATGCGCTTGAGTTTATGAATTTTGTGAAAAGCGCGTTTTATGTATGCATTTATGTATGTATTGACATCAAAAGCCTTCCACATATTGCGTGGCGATTACGGCTTGCATTTAGAGAGCCTTGCTATTGACAACCATCACTCGGCTGAAGAAAGTGGAAATTGAAACCTTCGTGAATATAAGACGCTGCAAATATAGGACACCTGTCACTGACGTCGGGTTACCTTGGGCCGTCTTTTTACATTAGATCATAATTCCGGTATTTAACCCTGGCCGGACCGATTGGTTTTCTATATTGACCGGGGAGGGTTGGTACAACTCCCTCACCGTTTCGCCTCTAATTGAGCTAGAGCCTCGCGGAAAAAAAAGCTTGTGTGCCGTTATAAGACGCAAAAATTAGGTACTACCCGATTTTAAGGTCTTAGGTCAGCCAGTGACCTCTTAGGTCAGGTAAGTGCCACAAGGCACGGGCTCGGTTTTAGGTTAATTAGGTACTTTGCCAAAAATGGTCGCACTGCCGCGATTTTGGCATCATCGTGTTTGTCTAGCTCAGGCGCGTTGAATGCTATACTTGGTGTTCGGGTGAAGTCAACTTAAGGTGTTAACCTCGGGTCAAGGTCAGGTCGGAGCCTCTCAGGTCACGAAAATGGTTGAAGGAGGTCATATTGCATATCATTCGATTCGGCAGGTCTTCCTGAGTCCAATGGTGGCTTTCCCGACTCTCTAGCTCCATCGGATCAGGAGTTATTGACGAAAAACTTATATGGCCTTAGTGACGTCATAAATGACGTCACGCAAAGTCAACAATCCTAAAGTCAAGCACTGGACCTTGCAAGGAGTGCATGAAACCATTCCCGGTGCCCGAATAGCAGCTCCCAATTTCCCTTGTTGACTTAAAGTGGTGCTAGATCCTGTATTATACTCAATTATGACGTCATAACTTAACAGATTCACGTCATATATTTAGTGCTTGACATCCAAATGATAGCTTACATATGACAGAGAAGGTATGCAAAGTTTTATGAAGTTTGCTTCACTAGTTGTGGAATAACAAGCAAAAAACTTTTGCGGAAAGGCCGCTGGCCTCTCGCTGGAGCGTTTCCGACCAGTGTGCAGTGGACCGATTGATCTGCTGTGATGCGTTGAATGCGATCGTCTCTCACATCAGGTCAGGACGAGACGAGACGTCAGCCATGAAGCGCGTATGAACTCGCCTTCAGACGTTTTCAATTGGTGCAGTCAATCTGTCACGCAAGTCCACTAAAGCCGTCGTTTCCTTGGAAATACAAGAGCTTTTCACATTTTGCAATCATTCTTAGGCCTCATCTCGCAAGCTATTGCAGTCTTGCCAACTTAATCTCGCTTACATCCAAATATGTCATTGTTCTTGCATAGTTCTATGCTTTACCTTCTCGTTTGGCTTTAACTTCGCACAAAGCTTTATCTTAAAGCCTTTACTTGAATGCACTGGCTTTAACTAAATGCTTTAGCTTGAATGCATCAGCTTAAACTTAACTGTGAAAAGTTTTAAATGCAAAGCCTTTAAACTAAATGCAAGCTTCGACCTCGAACAAGCCTTAACTTTAAGCCTTTACTTTAATCCATCAGTTTTAAGTTAAGTTAAATGCTAAAGCTTTAACTGTAGCCGCCGAGCCGCTGTTCGCTGTAACGGACATTATTTTCGATTCGTTGGGTGAGATGCTTTTGGTGAAATGCGAAACTTCAGCTAATGATTTATTCAAGTCTTAGTTCATCTCTATGTCATGTCATGTCATGTCATGTCATGTCATGTCATGTCGTTAAAGCTTTATGCATCTTACGGCTCAGAGCTAAATCAATTAGTATACACAAAACTACGCATCGTAATACAGCAATCGAAAACCCACCAATTTTAGCCTTTTTCGATGACCTGGAAATTTAAATTAAATCTCGCGGGCATCGCACGCGAATATAACTAACGGCGCCGCCACATGACAGACTATTTACAAATATGTGCAATACCGTATCCGAATAACGTGATGAGGCGGCAACAGCGGCTGTGTGTAGTTTCAAGCTCTGTCGAACGAAGCTCTTTTATTCCGTAATGAATGAAGTTAAACGAAACCTCATGCGACCTAGGATGAACTTTTTACGACTTTCATTTTTCAATACGGCAAGTACCACCTCCATGACTAAGATGCAGGTTGTTCCGTCCCTATACAGAATCGGCCCATCCCAAAGGCACGCACAATGCACCATCTCCAGCACCATGCAAATTTGGTCATTCTGTATAGATTATACAGGAACTACCAAGTACGGCATCGCCCCGTCCCTGCTGACTGTATTATGAAATATGCCATGGTTGGGCAAGGGTTAAAAGAGCCAGGGCCCAGGGGTCCACCCGATAAAAAGCTGCACTGACGCCGCTAATTTGAGGAGTTCCGCCGGCATTCCTGGCTAAACGTTGGTTTGTTCTGGGGCGCTGCGTTGCGCCGTAAGCCGTGGACTCAGCTGCCAAATTAGGGGTGTTATCGGCCAGTTAGGGCGGTGGCCGCGCCGCCGCCGGCTGGCCAGTGAGAGGGGCGCGGCCTTGTGCTGACCTGGGGTCGGCTGTCGCCACCTCTGAGCGGCTCTGTGCGATCGGTGCCGACCCCCTAATTACCTCATGTGCCGGCGCTGCCCCGGGCGCCGGCCTTGGAACGAGCTGTGATCTTGCGCGCCGCGGGATCTCGGGCAGGTCCCGGGGGAAATGCCTTCAAAGTTCAAAGAGTTTTCCCTATGGGTATTTTTCCTATACCTACTTCATATTCCCACTGATCCCACTATGATCCGCGATGTTCTTGTAGGCCTCATGTAGGGAAATATTCTCATACGCACACTTTTTTCTATTGTTTCTTCGCTAAGACATCACTGTGGCGATACCAGTCAAAACGAGAGACAGTTTATCATAGGAGCTACGATCTATGAAGTTGAACTGTCTCGAATGCTTAGTTTTAAATATATTTAAATGCATTAGAAGTGCGACCTTTTAGTAGGGTAGGAATATAAAAGCGTGTGGTCATAAATTAGTGAAGAAAACAATATCATTGAGCTTTATCTCACAACATGGGTCACGGCGCACTTGCTGTGGCTGTAACCTAGCGCTTGATTCTCTATCAATCCACTCCCAGTCCAGATCACACCCACTCCGACTCGCGTCCTACACCCCCACTGTCTCTGTAAGTTCCCGCAGCCTCTAGCGGCTGTCGGCCGGCGATAATGAAGAGATTGCCACCGGTCGGGTGGTCGCCGGGCGGCCCGGAGACCCCGACACTAATGTCCGCCCGCGGCCCGGCCCGGGGACACGGGTTTTTGTGGGACCACCATTACTGTCAGCTCTGTGTCGGCCCGACTGGGCGGCGGGCGAGCCCGCGGCGCCGTGGAGGGACGCGGCCACGGGCGACAGTTTAACCCGACCGGCGCGGGACGCCCGGCGGGCACACACGCGGCGGGTCCGAGCGGGTGGGTGGCCACCAGGCTCAGATGGAACAGTGGGGGCAGGGGAACGGAGAGGAAGAGGCTGAGAGAAATGGAGAGAAGGAACTAGGAAGGGTTAGAGGACGAGAGATAAATGAAGCGTAGATGTGCGGCGATAAAGTTTAACACAGCGCAATATTATCCACGGTAATCAATCTATGCATACTTGTTTCACACACTGTTTTTCGGTTAGGTTGATGTTATTTACAATCAGCATTGATGTTGGACCATATATTGGAGCTGGGCACAATTTCAAGCACCGATGGCATGTATGTCCTCAGTGTGAGCTGATTGAATATTATACCGTATAATGAAAAGTATATGAAGTCGATCAATGGACGCCGCGATTACACGTCTTACACAGAGGCAAGTAATAGCGCCGAATTACATAAAACGTTACGATAGATTCTTCGATAACAATGATATACAATGTGTATAATTGTAAGGGGACATGACAAACACATGCCATCATCTTAGATCATTTGTAAACAATAACACATCAGCGATATACGTAAGAACCTATAGTGGGCATTACTATACACTTGCTTATCAGCTTTTTTTATAGAGACCACTGTTGAAGATTGAAACCGACCCCGAAGACATCGCCTGTTCTTAGCCGAAAGTCTGCACCAAACAGACAATGGACAATGGACACCGGTGTGAACCCTTCATGACGCCATTCAGCAATCACTTCACACTCTCCACGGGACGCGCTAATCCGTCGACAAGACCTGGAACGCTGCCATACAACGGGTGCGTTCCATCCAGACCGTCCTAAGCAGGATGCATGTATACGGACTTATCGTGTAGAGCGCCAGTCACGCAGATGAGCTTTGTGCGGCAGTACCACCCCAGCAGATAATATATCCACTTCTCTCGTACTCGGACCCACTCAACACGTTCGCTAACCGTTTTACCGTCCACTTTGTGACCTGGGCTATTGTGCGAACAGCTAATTTATAAACATTACAAACACAACATGCCCATATTGCTTCATAAACATCACATCATAACATCTAAAACAGTCGAGTGCGGATAAACTTATAAGCAATCTGAATGTCACTGCCCATTGGGCCTAACATCAACATCGCGTATAGAGGATTTATGATGTAAATAAGACTGCAGCAGCTCCCGACGACTACAGCGACTGGCGGTGCAAGCCGAAACCATAGTTTCTCAGTTTCGCCGCTAGGTGTGCCTGATAATTCCCGTCCAGGGACATTTCAGTTGTCGCCATAAGGTAGGCATCCATGTATACAGACAGCGTTGGCAATAGCGTTTGTGCAACTTATTCTCTACATTTCACCAACACAGTGTACTAAGCCTTACAGCCATCAGCTCAATGTGTGCCAATTTGTGCAGTGCGTCACATTTCACCCCATTCATCGCATCTCTCCATTCACAGACATGGCAAACACCTCCATAGTATCACAACTCGAGTCCCTAGTCCACCTCACCGGCTCTGTTTGGGTCGCTCACTCCCGGAGTCACACACCACCTGCTCGGCACTGCCGCTGGAGGTTGGACGTGCCGCTCCTGAAGCTGCTAGGTCATCACGAACACTGGCGGACTGTTGTTACTGTTTTGGAGCATCGCTGGTAGCGAGTTTACGTCCAGTGGTAGGACATCTTAGCCTGAGCCGACGGATTAACAGCGACACAACAGTTTGACACTTGTGCGTCCTTACCGCCAACCCCGTGCTCGCCCGCCGCGTCTCCACCACTACCTCTCAGCCCTCCTCGCTATTCATTCCAATCACAGCCTGGGTCGTGTCCGCGCCCCTTCCCCCGGTCACCGGAGGGACAGCACCACAGCGGTCAGCGCCAGCAGCTGCGCCGCGCCGGCAGCCGAGTGGGGCGAGCCGGAGGCGTCCGGTATGGTCACCACCACGTCGGCCATCTTGAAGACGCTGAGTAGCGGGTGTGAGACGATGGCCATCTCTCGGTTGTTGATCATAAAGCTGATCTCCCGTAGCGGCTGGGCGCATTGGTTCTGGGAACGGGGCCGGGCTGGTTAGTGGTCAGTTTGATTTGGACTGAGGGGTTATATGTCTGCTATCAGGCTGAGTGAAAGTGAGCGTTGAGCTTGAACCTTTAAAAGAAAGGTAAAAAATGTAGAAATATGTATTACCCGCCAGGCGCCATGGGCAACTTTCTAAAGCTTGACCAGGCAGCGACACTGAGATAATTGTATCGTGGCTGCCTGAGGGCTGAGGAGTGAGGACACTTACCTTCTCCCTATCCAGCGACTCTTTATTCAGGCTGTTGTTGTAAGACTCTTCGACGTCGTCGATCTTGGCCTGGATGATGATGTTCTCCGTCTCGGGAAACCTCTGCTTCACCGACAGCTTACACGGCGACTTCTGTAAGCGGAACGGGGTGTTACCAGATCGACACACTGAACACCAAGGAGGACAGTGGACCTAGCTCAGATACCATGACAAGAACGACGGACCGACGCATTTGTATCCAGGAAAAGCACGCCAACAGGAGTTTTTTCCTATAGCTTTTCTAAACGCCGCATTGGTACATCAAATGTTCGTGGCCCGACCATTATAAAACAGTGGATATCTAAATAGAGCGCAACGCATTGCCCGTCCGAGTGGTCGTATGAGTCATGGAGTCTTTCATATGGAGTCTTTGTCATTAACTTAGGATTGGAGCTATCCCGTTTGCTGCCTATAGCACTTCTCTTCGTCATACCGAGCGCTGATCTCACCGGTTCGTCCATGTTGTTGATGTGGTTCCTCTGTGTGATTCTGTCCAGCACTGCCTGCAGGTCGGCCACAGTGTTATCCCGCACCGTCCGCCTGGTGTGCGGACGGAGAATCTCCTCCTCTTTGCGACTGTAGCCGAGAAACAGGAACACGCCAAACGACAGCATGTAGGACTCTGAGGACAGAGAAACGGACGGGCGTCAGCAACTTCAGCAGCGGACGGGGCTCAGCGTCACCAGTGCCATCAGCAGCGAACGGATCTCAGTGCCATTCGCGATGGCCAGGACTGCAAGAAACACTCCAGGAAAACGTCTCATTTTTTCCTAATCTATCCAAACCAGGCATGCTTCTGTGGCAGACAAAACAGCACATCCTGCAAACGACTTCATTATAATTTCGTTCAATTGATTTGAAAAATGATTTAATTTTCTCGATTTACATACAACGCTTTATAAGTATGAACCTGGGAAAACCCTCTCCCTTTCCGGCCCTGCCGTCGTCCTCACCACTGGACGGCCGAGTGCACACAAAGTCGCCTCTGAAGCAGATGCAGGCGGTGCGGTACGGCCGCAGCGCCGCCGAGCCGTCGTGGTAGGTAGCCATGTCCGTCTTGCAGTTCTTTTTGACTGTACATACCACGTTGCAGGTGGTGCGATTGCGCATGTGGCACATGCAGATCTCCGTGCAGTCTCGCTCCACCTCGTTGTTTCTACCGGTTGTCTTGTCCGTCATGTAGTACTGTGGGGAAAAAACAGAAGTGGGGGCAGTTGGAGATGAAAGGGAAGGAGAAATAGGGATATTTGCATTTTACGCAGCATTATTCTTAACTCTTTTTGCGGGAATGCCGTCTCAAAATTATGTGCAACGTATACCTAACAATATACATGCGTCATAAAAAAAGAAAATATTTATATGACCAACACATAACTATATGAATAAACCACCAGCCCCTCCGTAGGCCCATCGGCCCTCCCACTCCTGGGCGCTCACCCGTATGCCTTCTCCGACCAGGAGGTAGTCGTCAGGCCGGCCCGGTTTGCGGGACACGCAGTGCGGCTCCTCCTCCCGGCGGCGCGCGGTGGTGGTCGTGGTGCGGACCGTGGTCGGCCGGCGCGGCGTGCTGCGAGCCGTGCTCGTCGTGCTCGTGGTCGGCAGCCAGCGGCGGGTGGTGCTAGTGGCCGCCAGACGCGGCACGTACGGCACGCGCGTGGGCTGCGGCACCACCGGCGGCAGCACGGGCGGCAGCACTCGCGGAGGGGGCGGCGTGCGCAGCTGTTCCTGCCGCTCCTGGTGGAACTCGCGCTGCGCCTGGACTGTGGGTGGAAGCGCCGGAAAATTTGTCAGAGCTGTTCTGCTAAAAGGACATGTTTCAGCTGTCTTTTAGAAGTCGTTATTATGATAATTTCACCGAAAAAATACTATCCCTTCCCATGATACACAATTACTTGTAAGAACAAATGCTGATTTTCGAGTGTTGTAAGTGCTCACACATCATGAAGCCGGCCAGCCATCACTCGTTGTCACGTACCGACGCAGGGGTTGGCGAACAGCAGCCGCTCCCAGCCGCGGCAGTCGTTCATGGAGCTGATGTCGGTGCCCAGGCAGGCGCAGCTGGTGCGCAGCTTTGTGCCCAGCACCGCCAGCAGGGCGCGCCGGCAGTCGTCGGTTGGCCCGGCGCACAGGCTGGTCACAGAGTCCACGGCACACGCCTGCTCGTAGCGCTCCAGTTTGGGCCGGCACTGGCCCGCAGGGTCGTCCCGGCACTGTTCGGCCACGCTGTGACACGCCAGTCGCGTGCCGCCCTCGGAGCGCTGCGCACACTTGGGGTGCAGCTCCTCCAGCGCCCGCTCGCACTCCCCGCTGCCCGGACCGCGCCTGGTGGCAGAACGGGGAACTAAAGCTTCCACCAGCAGATACCAGAGTTTATGGCTACAGCTTCCACCAGGCTTTCTGGGTTTATCGAACGGTGCTTCTCAACAAGAGGAGGTGGAAGATACTTTGATATTCAAAGGAGACTCTTGTAGCTGCCATGCATATGTGTGACGCGAAAAGGAGTGGTGCTCATCAGTTACATTACAATGTCCAAAATACCCGGCCAAATCTGGGACTCCTGCACGTCCCAAAATAAGTCGTCAGGTAGTAGGTATAGGAACTTGATTAGGTAGGGCAGCTGCTGTGAGCCTGTTGACCTAAGCCAGCTGTGAATGATGACAAGAAAATACATGCACGTCTTTTTTGACTTTAGGGATTAGGGAACAGCCAAGGTTCGTAAATGCCGTGATTGTTTAACCCGCGCACCGACGGGGGTCTGCGCCAACTTCGCACCGACGGGGGGGCGGATGACCGCCCCCCTGAGATCTCGAAAACGAAGCAACATAGCGACAAGCGGTAAATGGCATCGGATACGCACGGACAAGGTCTACAATTTTTACTAAGGTCATTTTCAGGTCAGGTCAAAGATGACGTCACAGGGGTCAAAAAAGTCAAAATGGCGGCGCTATATATGAAGAGTGTTTTTCTCGAATAACTTTCGAACTAGTCAAGATAGAAACAATCTAAGGGCATCATCGTGATCCTCTCGTCAATCCGCATCGAATGATATATATGTTGACCTCGAAAGGTCAAGGTCAAAGGTTGACCTCAGGTCACTGACCTCGAGGTCATCATGTATATCATTCGATGCGTCTTGACGAGCTGAACACAATGAGACCATCCGCGCGGCTGTATCTTGTTCCTGTACGGAGTTATTGGCAAAAAACCTTTGTTGACCTTTGATGACGTCACATGACCTTACAGCTGCCCAACAGCAAAACAGACCTCAAGGTAGTGAAGGTTGATCGTATATGAAGTCATGTATGGTATATGGGGCCATTCCGACCCGTTTTAGTGGTAAAAACAGGGAGTTGATTTTTCCCCCATTGACTTATAATGGGGAGGTCGAGAAATTGACCTGACCTTAGGTCACCGATATCAAAATTCCGAGATAAACAAATTGTAGCTACTAATTACCTTATAACATCCTGCGACTTTCAAAGGCCTCCGACATCTACTGTAGCTCTGGCACGGTGACAAAGTTGCAAAAAAAGTGACTTGAGGTTGGGTCATTCAAAGTGACCTGGTGACCTGACCTTAAAAGTTAGGAGGTTCAAACATGCACATCATGTGTAAAATTGATGAGTGAATAGTCGTACCAAATTTCGCGGCGCTACGCGCCGCGGTTTTTCCGCTATTCGCGAAAAACCTCAGGGGGGGGGGGGTGGATATCCGCCCCCCATCGGTGCGCTGGTTAATGTTTCACTGATCAATACAGGTGTGCACTGTGCGGTTTGAGTAGGCACCTGACCTGACTGCATTCATCATTATAAGTGCAAGATAAACACCTGATGACTGGTGTCTGGTCATAAGTGCAATTTTGGGAAAGACAGCAATCAATCCAGGATAAGTGCAATAAGCTATGGTCTCGACCAGTGCAGACGAGGGTATTCGTAGCTGTGAGTGTGGTGTCTGGTTTCCTCTGTAAGCATTCAAAGAGTCGCGGCACTCGAGGCCCTACAAGTTTCGCTTCAGAAGCATCGCGTGACGTTGCAACCGACTCCGTGACGTCACTGCGAGTCAACACGTGCTGCATTCATTCCCAAAACAAACATTGCGCAGACTGACACGGTTCGACGACGCCTATTGCCGCGGTGGTTCTGGTTTTGATACGGGGGTATGGATCGGCGGGCTGCGGCACAGCAGCAGGAGTTCGAGCGAGCCCACCTCGTGTTTTCGCCTTCTCTCAGAATGATTAGAGTGCATGGCTGGAGTTCGCTCAGATTTACTGCAAGCCCGGCCAACGAGGCGAGCAAACAGCTTTAAATTTATATCACGGAAGCTTTCAGCCGCGAGAGCAGGCCCCGAGCTCGAGCGTTTTTGAAATGCATTAGAGTGCGATGGATAATGTATATGGTTCGGTAAAGCCGTCCGTTGGTTAGCTTGTGGATCGGTAACATCGATTGAGTCAAAACATCACTTTAATGGACAAACATTCTCTTTGTCCCTAGAGAGCGAGCATCACACGTCAAGGGAATAGGCCAGCTGACTGGTAATGTTTTATTGGCTACATGTAAATATTTGAGAAGTTAAGTGGTAATTAACAGAAATGTAATAATTGAATGAGGACTTTACTCCACAAGAAATCGTTCGGGTCGGAGCTTTCGAATTGTATTACAAAGCTTCGTCAGCGTATCGTAATCGGGTTCGGGGGGATCGGTCGCAAAATCGAGAAATGTGTCATTACAAATGCAGGATTATTTGTTTTCCATACATCCTCCTTACCGTTCCTCCCCGCCATACTAGAGGTATCGGCCCCATGATTTGGCTCTCGCTCTTACTTCCCTGGACTTTCCTTTTACTCACCTGACCTGCGCTCTTCCGTCAGCCGTTTATGGAAGACCAATGAACTACGAAACAAAACGACCCAATGAAGGACAATAAAGGACCCTTTGATATCTTAAAGGCACACCCAGAAGTGAGCCAACAGCTCTGAACTTACCGGTAGACGCAGAAGGCCACACGACTCTGAACTCACCGGCAGACGCAGAAGGCCACACGGCTCTGAACTCACCGGCAGAAGGCTCTACGACTGAACTCACTGGCAGACGCAGAAGGCTCTACGACTGAACTCACCGGCAGACGCAGAAGGCCACACACATCTGAACTCACCGGCAGACGCAGAAGGCCACCTCTGTGCTCAGTCGGGTATCGGCCGCCCGGTAGAAGTTCTGCAGCCGCTGCATGCAGATCTGACGGTCGCAATTGCGCTCGCTGCAGGCGGACAGCACGGGCTCCAGCTTGGAGCGACAGTGTGCATCCCGCAGACACGTGTCACGGGCCTCGTGGCACGTGGAGCGCAGCACGCTGTCGTCAGGCAGCGGAGCGGCAATCGACACGTGGTAGCCTGCAATTGTACAGAGCGCGTGTCGAAATCAGCGGCTAATATGGCAAGCTGCAGAAGGGTCACTGTCAGTCTCGGGTTCGGGGACCGGGATGCGACGTTCAAGGCGTTCGCAGTGAGTATGATAGAAATTCGATCTCGTGTAAGCTTCTGTTTATGGTGATCTTTGTTTAATTTTGCGTACGGAATTTTGCGTTTGTTTTGTGAGCCCGATAGTAAACAATGTTTTAGGAGGTTATTTGGAGGTGAGAATGTGATTGATTGGATAGACATATAGATTGAAATGTTAGAGTATTAGTGTCACAGGTGACAAAGAGAGATTGCTCATCGACACCAAAACGCGGCATACACTAGGGCATTGTTTATGTTTATTTTCAAGAAAAAAGTTGCATCACGTTAGCGAACTGGAGGTCCACAGCAGTGTAACATGATTTCTTATGACTGTTTTCCTCCGCAGTTAGTTTTGTAACCGAAGCCAATGGGGAGACAAACTAATAATTTAGAATGGTCGGATGTGTGCTCGCTCGGAGCGGAAAGTATTGATATATTGATTGTGGGCCACTACCGTTATTGGCAAACACTGTGATATGGCCTCCGGTGGCCGTAGTGGTCTGGTAACTCAGCAAACTGATGTAGGACCCAGTGATTGGGATGGGGGTCAACCTCAAACCACATAACGGGGCTAACGACTTACTTAGTTGTTGTTCTTATTAGGTTTCCTAATAAGTTTTTTCTTGTAGAGCTATTATTTTCGTTTTGGTGAAAATAAATGTCTTACTGAACAATTGAAGGAGTGTTCAATTGCATGCACTACCGGGAAAGTTAAGAGTTGAATATGCGCGCATTCGTATGTTGATGTGCTCAGCATCCACTGAGTCACTGATAAATGAATGCATAATGCAAATCATTATGATATACGGCGAAGAATCGAGCGCTCAGCTGAAGAACATCATTCAGCTGAGCTCAAAACGAACTCCCCCGAAATCGAATGGACGTCCAAATTTGATTTTATAATAAAACGACTTGTTCCAGCGAATCATGTGACTTGTTTGACTTTAGTTATTACTATACTCACGGCATGTAGGGTGGCTCGGTAAGAGGAACTTTGGTGACTCAATTCGTCCACGACAAGGCTTTTTAACTCAGGGGTCTCAGTTTGCACGTGCGCACGGGCAGAGTGGCACTTCAACACCCCAAGAACGGCTGGGCCAATCGCGCTCGAAGCTGGTACGCCGTTATTGATCGGTTAGAACGATGGACCATACATACACTGTGGACCATACAACTCATTTTTTAAATTTTGCATCCCCGCTAGCACAAGGCTACAGCTGGAGGGGAGGAGAGGATGGAGGTCGTACCTTCGCGCTCACAGGTCTCACTATCGCGCTTGCTCATTTTTCGTCCCAAAAGGTATTTCATTGGCATTGATATAACAATTAATGGCCCATTGATTGCAATCGGTAGGTACATGTTGAAGGAAGTGCAAAACATAATACTTTAGCTGTATTTTAATTTTTGGTAGACCTCTTCATTTCCTTAGCAATTATTTTTGCAATCAAGCTTGCAGATTACATCCATATTTTCTACGACGTTAATTATCACAATGTCTTGAAGCTTTTTTAAGGTTCTTCATTATTATCTTCATCGTGTTCTTAGGCTAAATTACATGAAAACATCGTTTGTTATTGTCGTTTCAGTCTAACGTGTCTCGGCAATCCTATCAACAGCATCTATGTAAAGCTATTACAGCCTTCGAGAAGTAAAGACCAAATGAGAGAACTTCCCGCGAGTTAAGACGCTGGCCTTGTTTTATGGCTGACTGGGCCGGTAAAGTAGAGTTCGGAACACCAAGTTGGCCTCCCATCACCGCTGCTCGGCGCCGGAAGTGTACCGCAGAGGAAAACATCTCGCCGGCGCGTGGAGGAGCTCGACTGACACCGCGGCCCGTCGGCCGCCCCCCCCCCCCCCCCGACCGGTCAATAAACACGGGTCGACGCTAGGAGCCGCAAACTACATAGACAGTTATACAGGTGATGGTCTCGTTTTACAGCAATTTTACCTTCAATGTAAGTTAATTGTAGCATTTGAAACAGCGAGCCGTTGCAGATGACCCATTTTCGGTATAAAGATGCAAGTACGATGCGCATGACTTTGCTTTCATGACTTAAATACCAGCTTTCATGACTTAAGGCATGTGTTAATAGGAATGCTTCAATTTATGGAATCGTCAGGCACCGACTGCGTAGACTGTACCGCATGACAGATATGCACAGCGGTGCAGTCTATCTTCCCCTCGGTATATCTAATTTCTGTCGAGCTCAATTGCAAATGTAAAATAATGATTGATAATGTTGAGATCGTGTATGCTGTATTTCAACATGTCCTTTAATTTACAATGAAAAAATACAATTGAAATGTAGCTGGAACTGCAGTTTCAAATGCAGGTACTTATGTATGTATTTCCGATATTTCCTATAGCAGTGTTGTTGCTGTCTTGTTGTGGGAGGATATCTTTCCATTCCACCTATAAAGGACAAAAATATGAGAACAATACCAGCTTTAAATTGCGTTTTAGTTCAGCTGAATTAAGTGGGAGCCGGGACTACAAAGACACCAATTTCTTTTCACATTACGGCTATCCAAGGTAGAGCTTTGCACTAAATATATGTTTTGTAAGCATGATTGAATGCTATTTAGCCCGGAATATTGCTTTGAATGCTAACTTCAGGACAGGATGAAAATTTCAGCATCCGTTTCCCAACTCCAGAGTTAACTGTCGTTGGCACACTGGCAGTGGCACGGCCACAGGAGTAAAGGAGGTTGATAATCCTTTAAAGGTAGACTGCCACCTTTTTTCCACAAAACGGTTTTCACTAGAGCTGAGCCACCTATGTCCCAGACTGAAGTCGGTTTTCCGAAATTCGAACCCGTTTGCGAGAAATCGGAGACCAAAGTTCAGTTTGATGCCATTTTTTTAGTCCAAGAAAACCGACATCTCTACTGTTTATCGATAACTTTGAAACATGAATTTTCTTATCTTTTGGTAAATATATGTCAAAACTTTGATTGTTTCGAGATCAGAGAAGAATTTTGGAGTGTCAAAATAAAAGTTAAACTTATATATTCAGTAGTTCATTTTTCCAAAAAAGTGTGGGAAATGGGGTTTAACATGGGCCAGACTACCCATTCCAAATGAGCCATGATTTTTAAATGTTTTACGAACTTAAATGCAAAATGAATTAAACATGGCCAATTTCTTATGAAATCATATATTAGTAAATCATAAAATACCTTACTTTTTCAAATAAAATGTAATAATCTTATGACCATGAAGTCTAGTGATGTGTAAACATTGTCGCTAGACATTAACCGATTGATAATTGTATGATAATCGACAATTTTTTTCGCGATTCACGTGATGATACTTTGTCAGGTGAATTCTAAAATTTTGTTTTGTCCAGGGAATAAATCATAGGCCGATCTGAGAAAATTTTTTGAAGGTGGCAGTCTTCCTTTAACCCGCGACCGCCTGGGGGGGTCGGATCCGACCCCCCCTCCGTTTTTCTTGAATAACTCATGAACCACTTTCGCTATCTACTTGAAACTTGGCATACCCTCTCCCCCATCAATTTGACGTCTCCTGTGCAATTTTTAAGAAAAAATTTCCAATTTTTTTTTGAGATATATCGATTTTAGTGATGTAACTACATGGCGTTTTTAGTCAAAAAGTGGTAAATGTTTAAAAAATCGCCAAAAATCAGGGTTTGAAGCAAATTGCAAATTAAGGGCATGAAAAGACGCAGCTCAACGAGTTCTTAAACCCTAGAACGCCTAGGGGGGGGGGTTGTATCAACCCCCCCCTGAGGTTTTTTCGAAGTGCACGCTAAACGGCTTGTCGTAGCGGGCTGCAATTTTCAATACCCTCTGGGGCAACCTTTGCGCATCTTTTGCCGAAAAAAAATTGATCGGGTCATGTCAGGTCACGGAGTTATGACGTCATAAGAGGTACAGCCTCCGGCCGACAGTTACCAAACGTGTGCGCCGAATCCCTAGGTTTTCTGCCGGTGATACCCACATTGTTTGATGGATCATGATGAAACTTCCCATGCATGTTGGGGCAAGCATTGGCTATCGTGTGGTGCAAGAAAATTGACCGGGTCAGGTCAGGTCACGGAGCTATGACGTCACAAGAGGAACAGCGTCCGGTACTATTTTTGAAAAGCGCCCGAACCACTATTTTGCTAATTCTTGTCACCTCAATGGGAATATGCAGCAATATTAGCTTCTATAGGGAGCAAATGGACCTCCCAAATCCAAAAATACAATCAGATTTCAAAAATTTAAATTTTGATTTTTCGAATTTCTGCCGCCGACTGTGACCTTGCCGACTTCCGGCGCTCCCAACGCGCCATTTTTAGAGCTAGGGAAACGAAATACATACCAAACGATAGAGAATTGATCAAGGAACACGATAGTGAAGGTTTCAAGTCGATATCTCCCACCGTTTTGCCGCAATCGCCGCGGAAAGTTGAAAAAGTTTGATTTTTTCGGAAAATTTGACCTTTGACCGGTCATAAGTAGGTCAAATGTTGACCTAGGACCAAAAAATATACCACCAATCGCGAGATCTCGTTGAGAGCAATCCGTTGGTTTTTTCCGCTAAGCTCTACGACCTTCCGTTTCGAAACGCCAGGGGGGTCGTAACAACCCCCCCCCCCTGGTCGTTCGTGTTATGAGAAATGGCCTGGTCGTGCGAGGGTTAACATGGCTATCTCGGATTTTCCATAAAATGCGTTTTTTACCCCTAAAAATTCAAAAAACTATATTTTTTGGAAAACAGCTAATAAAATCCAAAATTTTGGGAATTTCCCAAAAACCGGAATATATGTTGTAGAGCTCTATTAGAACATTAAATGCCCCAAATTTCAACTTTCTATCTTGATTTTTGGCCCCCAAATTGTAAAAAATAGCTCCAACATGCATAAGGCATGGTGACGTCATAAGCATTTTCGTGAATTAGAGGCACTTCTGAACATCGCATGTAAAAACAAATGGCACCACTAGATTCCTGGGACAAAGCTCGTCTAGAAAAGTGCATTTTTATGTCAAAAATAAAAAGTTGAAAAATTGACTTTTTTCTTAGCCCTCGTTTAGTTATGTATAGTATAAACGATTTTTTATGCTTTCAATGCACACTTATCACCAGCACAGTGACTTGGGGTCACATATAACCATTACCATCGGATTCGGCGTGAAAAATAAGCCATAAAACATGTGTCGCACGCCCATGTAGCAGAAAGTGAAAACCGTGACCTTTCGTGACCTGACCTGACCTTGACCCGTGCTTAGTATGACCCCTATACGCACATGGTACCTTCACTAGGCCTTTGAGGTCATTTATGGTGAGTTTCGAGCAGCAGCTATCGATTCAACTGTCCGTAAGCCGATTCATGCAAAACCCCTGAATTTGACCTTTGACCTGACCTTGACCCGAAAGTTGACCTCAATCTTAAAATCTTAAGAGTGCTTTGGGAAGGTCTCGTAGAGACCTTTCGAACGCCGCCTCGCGGGGCTCGATACGACCATTGGTTCTCGAGATAACAGGGGGGGGGGGGTCGGATCCGACCCCCCCCCCCCCAGGCTGTCGTGGGTACGGAAATAGCCCAGGCGGTGCCGGGTTAAAGGTATGACCCTTGGTTTCTTTGTCCCTTTCGCTTTTGATGTATGACCATTGACAAGGCTTACGACGTTTGCCAAGTCCCGTTCGACAACCATTTCTATCACTAATGAGCTTGATGGATTGGATCGAAAATGCTAAGATGAGAGAGGAAGGGACGTCCTAATTATACGATGAGCTTTGACGTTCCTTCGCGTACCAGCAGCCGTGTCGAAAGAAAAAAAAAGAGCATCACAACTCATTTCTTGCAAGATCGGTGGTTCAAATTGTGCGGGCAGATAAGGGAAGCAATTGAGCTAAAATTCTGCCTCACTTTCAAAAGCACTTATTGCTCAAAATGAACTAAGGAAACGTGCCGGACAATAAATTGAAATCTGTCCATAGGTATAAGCTGGAATTCAAATAATGCACAAGCACAGACCTTGCATGCTTTTCAAAACGTGAAACCATGCAGGCTTGTATGTGAATTTGAAGAATATTCAGCAGTATTTTCATCATGGATTGCACTGACAGTATGCCTTAAATTCTTTATGTAGGCATGCTCACTATTCGCCGACACTGGTAACATGCCGCACCGTTTTGTGAATGTTCAGCAAATGCATATCAAATAGGTGCGCATGAGTAGAGAATAGCTTTTACTAATTGCACACCCTTCTGAATGACACGACTCGGGGCCGGACCAGTGAATAAATACTCCCCAGAGGGATAAAATCACTTTAAAGTTTATTTTAAGCTCTTAAAGGCCTTACAAATAGCCCCAGTATTTGTAATGCAGAAGAAAAAAAGAAACGATGTCACAAATGCATGTTCCCTTTTAGATTCGCACGGTTGTCTTCCAAGTTCAATGACATTTTTGAATAATGAATGTCTAACTTATCATCGGATCCGACCGTGCAGCTGTCCACACTTATGTAAGGCGTTCTGTCCCGTTTCCGGTTTCCGATAGTTGGGCTATTGTTTGACGCTGCGGTGCTCTGTCCCTCCCATCAACGGCTGGCGGCGTACCCCAGGCGAGCTGGGAGAACGACAGCCACGAACATAGTCCAACTGCTAATATAGGCCTTTTAGCATTTCATTTATGCTTATTTCATATAAGTCAGTAAAAAATAGTAACTATTTGTGACCTTGCCACCCATCGACAGTTGCAGTTTTTCAATGCGTCTTATGACAATATAATGTGATTTATCGTTTTGTTTTCTTTCCGATGGAATAAGACCAGTTTCGATACACTCAGAATTGCCTATGCAAAATTCATAAGAGATGGAGTTTCAGTGAAATGTAGCTTTGATCAAGATGATGGAAGCTGGAGCATATGTTTAGTGTTGTTATACGCAGACATGTGCATGGATCCGAGAAAATGGATCTGGGATCTGATCTCACGGATCCTGATCTCGGATCCGACGGGATCATAGATCCAACTCTGTAATTTATCGAGAGATCCGTAGGGATCACAGATCCGAGTCTCATTTATTGCTTGAGATCCAGTGAGATCATAGATCCTCACTTATTTTTTGTCAACACATAAATCCCCAAAAAACACTTGTTTCAGCTCACAAACGTTCTGATTTAGTGATTTTATGTGATCGCACGTCATAATCCATAGTTTTGTGGCACATATTAGCATAGAAACCCTTTAAAACATGGTTTCAAATGTGGTGCATGGTGGGATCCACTCAGATCATAGATCCATGTTCTTAATTTATCATCAGATCATATGAGATCATAGATCCGAGATGAATTTTTAGCGCCGGATCCGGTGGGATCATAGATCCCAACCTGTACTTTACTTCGAGATCCACTGAGATCATAGATCCATCACTCGGATCCATGCACATGTCTGGTTATACGGCTGTGAGTTGTATAAGATTCGTGGAGAAAATTTGTTTAGAGCTGTCAAGCAGTGCAAGATTTTCCCTTAAGTCTTAATGGTTGCAAGATTCTGCTTACTCATAAAGTCTGGGTAGCTATTTAAGAACATGACGCGAAATCGTTAATGTGGTTTCAGAATATCGCAGAATTGACGAAAGTTTTTTATAACGCATTCCTTAAAAGGATTTTTAACTCCGGAAGCTCGTGAATTCTAAGACAAATACAACACCAGCTAAAACTACTGGTTCCAACACATCGAACTACACAGCACATCAAAATATAGCTAAACGACTTTTCAGTGTCTAACATCCAATGTTTCTGTTGCTCAAAACCCTCACCAATGTGAAGAACACGTTTGGTATTTTCCCAAATTCCGTCTCCAGCCCCCTTTCCTCCATCGCGGTACGTACGTGTTGGCTGGTGGGAGCGGCCGCCGCCGTGACCCCTGGCGCCGAACGGGTCCGTCGAGCCGTACAGTGTCTCGGTCAGACTCGAGTTGTAGGTGGGCTCCGAGGTCAGGTCAACCAGCGGCGTGACCAGCAGCGGGTCGACCGGTCTCCTGCTGGCGTCCCAGTCTCCTCCGGCCAGCACGTCCACTGAAACACGTCCCGGTGACGGTGCGGGCACGGCCCACGGGCCGCCCGGGGTGGGCCGGTGCAGGGGGCGTGCAGGCGTGCGGGGTGCGGGCCGAGGTGCTGGTGCAGAGGTGTCGCCCGGCGGCGGGAACAGCAGGCGGTGCAATTGGTAGTGTGAACTGTGCCAGGTCACGTCTCGGCCGTGCTCGGGCAGATCATCTGCAACAGACACGGCAGCTGATGGGCGGCTCGGACACAGGCGGGACACAGGGGTCACTGGAGGGTGACCCGGTGTCAGGTCAGGGTTGGGAGGGTCACAGTGAGTGGGGATTGAGAAAGGAGTGTCCCAGCATCAGGTCGGAAATGGAAATGGATGAGTTACACTGGTGACTGTAGCGACCCAGTGGAAGGTTTTATGAAAAGGTAGATCATAAAAGGGACTGGGGACTGAACACCAGTTGCAGTGGTCAGTCTGGATCATCGGGCAGTGGTCACATATGGAGGTAGGGAAGCTGGTACCACATATGGAGGTAGGGAAGCTGGTACAGTGGACACGGGACATACAGTGAAACAGAATAAGCAAATAAGCGGGGAATACGTGATGGTCGGGCAAGGTTCAGTGCGAGTTACCCTACGTAATAAACTACACTAAAACTAGGTGAAATCGACTATCTATGCATGATTTGTATTTCAAATGTGATTTAAGCGGTATAGTTGTCAAAATATTAAACCGAAAATTGACGTTTAGATAAACATCACTGCGATAAGATAGTCTCGTTTCATCTATCATTCGTTTAAAATAGCTTTTTAACATGTTACAAAATGCTTGAAAAGTTGCATTCGCGAAAGTTGAAAGTTTTTTTGATAGTGCTTGAGGCATTTTTGTTTCTTTTACGGTGGTTGCGACAAGTTTCCAGACTGGGGATACAACAACCACAACAACAATCAATCCTGAGACCAAAGAATGTTTCCTCAAGACTTCAATTGCATGCATGTATTCTCTCTGAGCCACATCTGTGTAAATTATATGAAGATTAAACTATTTACATCAGTGTAAATAGTTGAGGCAGTCAAATATGAAAGAGTTGAAGCATTTATCCACTTAACAGTTGAAAGATTTGAAGTTTATTCACATGCACACAGATCGCTGGCGTTCCAGTACCCAGTGGCCATATTGCTTTCTAAAGGTGTCATTGCCTTTGTGGGGAATAAATTGGACTTTCCGTACCGCTGTTCACAGTACACACAGTAACCGGAATGAGCCAGCAATCTGCTGTTTGCGGTGGACACCGGTCTGCTTAACCCTCGCCCGTAAACGGTGTTTTGCCACCTTCGCCCATGCAGGGGGGGGGGTTGGTGCGACCCCCCTGGCGTTTGAAAACGGAGCGTCGTAGAGCTTAGCGGAAAAGACCAACGGATTGCTCTCAACGAGATCTCGCGATTGGTGGTATATTTTTGGTCCTAGGTCAACATTTGACCTACTTATGACCGGTCAAAGGTCAAATTTTCGGGAAAAAATCTAACTTTTTCAGAGTTCCGCGCCGATTGCGGCAAAACGGTAAGAGATATCGACTTGAAACCTTCACTATCGTGATCCTTGATCAATTCTCTATCGATTGGTGTGTATTTCGATGTCATAACTCTAAAAATGATGCGTTGGGAGCATCGGAAGTCTGCAAGGTCATTTGGGCATTGGGTCACGTCAGGCGTGTGACGTCACTGACCTGACCCTGACCCAAAATGAACTACAAGAAACAACCGACGATGCCTGAAATGGATAGCAAATTCGAATTCAGGGCATCAAAATACCCCGAAAAGGCATACAAGTGCAAGAAGTCATTACAGGTCAACCGAGGTCACTGACCTTACCTTGACCTTTAGTAACCTTCAAAATGTCAACGGACATTGTGCCAATGTCAAATCAGCCAGCTGTGATTCTAAAACAATCCATCAGTGTGTCCAGTCGGCATTTATACCAATGTGAAGCAATCTCCAATTTAGCGTAAATCTGGCCGGAGGTTGTTCCCTTTATGACGTCATAACTCCGTGACCTGACATGACCTTGACAAAAAAATTACCAAAAGTTGCGCAAAGGATACCCCATAGGGTACTGAAAATTTGAGCAGGCTATCTGAAACGGTTCGGCGTGTAGCTAAGAAAACCTTAGGGGGGGGGGGGGTGCACCAACCCCCCCCCCTACATGGGCGAGGGTTAAATTATTTATGTGCCTAGTGGACATTGTGCCGATTCAATGATTTTAAAACGCACCCAGGCTATCAAGGCTGAGCTAGGCTCGGCTGTTTGTGACCCGGGTCATTATTGACCGCTCTTAATTGACCTGTATTGACCGGTCCATCGACAGGGGTGGCCCACGCTATCCGGAAGGAAGCTGCCGCGCACTGATGGCCCTGACCAGGCACACGGTGCTTCCGTGTGCTTTGGAGCCGAGCGTGTCAGTAATGATACGCTGGATGAAAATGGATCGCTTGCATAGAAGCGGAGAGCAATTAAAGGCTGAAAAGGTAAACAAAGTCGATGGTCTTCTCTTTTCTAAGAAGCAGATACAAAAAAACTTGCAAAAAATATTGCATAATCATTCATTGCTTAGCTCACATAATCCAAATGCATGGAAAGTCAAATTATGCTCGACGGTAATAATACCCATTTAATTAAACTCATACTCATACCAAATAAACAACAATAATGCAGAAATAAGCTCAAATAAGCAGCGCGGAAACGAAGGTGAGGTATGAAGGCAAGTGGTTGGCAGGCAACTCCAGTGAGACGAATGATAAATTGGCCTTGATTGGTGGGTACAGGCACCCTTTCGTACCAGGGCCCGTCTCATAGAATTGTCACACTTTCCTGTTTATGAAATTTGGCATCACCTGTCATACATATTGTATATTGCATAGCGTTGCCAGTGTCGGCAGATACAATGCATGAAATTTATCCAATTGGGAGTCAGGTCTGACCGGTGATCGCTTACTGCGCTCACTAACTGTTATTGTTCAACATTTTTCATTGTGACGATCGACTTGGAACTGATAAGGGTTTTGCTTGACGAGGATAAAACTCGCTCACCGTACAGTATGCTTTTGAAAAAGGAACTGGGTTGTCCGTTATTGTGCGATGGGAGCTACCCAAAGTCCATTTATAAAACCTGAGAACCTGGCTGAACCCAAAATAAAGTAGTAGGTAATTGCATTTTATAGTTAAGGTTTAAGGTTTATACACCGGAAATTACCAATTATATAGGAGAATGTAATTGGGCAATGTAATTGAATTCTCACGATGCCTCTGGGTTACTAGAGCAATATAAAATGAGTGTTTCTCTTGTACCGAGCCAATTTTAATTTCTCAAAACGAAATTTAAGTCCACGACAGCTAGCAACACGTCCTAATAATGGCATCAATCGTTATCCTAGCACTCAGCTGGGCTCCATTCCGCGGCCAGGGTCAAAGCGGGGCGGTGCGGCCGAGGCCACCTACCGACACAGGGGTTCCGGTGGACCAGGTCGAAAATCTGCTGACACGCTGCTGTGCTGTCCGGGCAGATACAGCCAAACACCGGGCTCAGACGCAGCTGGTTCCAGGCGTTGTAGCAGGCGCGGCTGAGGAGGTGAGGAAACAGGTCAGTCGTGGGGGATGCTTCATGGGTGGGGCGGGGCACAGCGTGGTTGCAAGGCTCTCCAGCAAACACCGGGTGTGAAAGAGGGGCATTATTTTGGAAATTTACGGTGTGCAGGAATTAAACAATGGTGTAAGTTGTGATAGATCGGTCTATCGGTCGGTAGGTTGTCTATCGGTCTATCGGTCGGTCGGTAGGTCAGTTGGCCAGTGCACTGACTGGGTCGCCCTCTGATGTGTCCGTGCGGTAGCTCGCAGACGGCGCAGCCACTCTGCTGATTGTGCCGGCTACCGGCGGCCATTCGACGGCGCGCCGGCGGCGCTGCGGCCTGTCCAGCGCTCAGATAAACTGTGACAAACTACCCTCACCGACATCGATTGCAATGCACACAACCGGCGCGGAGATTCGCCCAGATGTGGGTGCACGTGGGACAATGGCGTAAGACCGACCAGCGGGAGTTTTATTGGCGTCGAAAGTGGAGAGCTTTGATTTGAAGACGCTGTGATTTACACCGTGATCGGGTCGTTCGCCTCCGAACGCGAAATGTCTCTTTCAAATGGAGGGTGGAACTTCTTTATTCGGTCGAAGGGCCGTAACCGCTATCGTTGTGTGCAGTAAACAATGAAGTTTGGAGGAATGAGAGCAAAATTGACGAAAGAAGTTTCGAATCAAGACCGCATCGCAACGAAAGAGGCGTGCAGCAGCGTGGAAAATGTACACACGTATGCAACACGTATTTTTATGCTATGTATTTCAGTTGATAAGGCAGCAGCTTATGCGAGCTGTTCACCACACCTCCCCCAAAAGCACTACAGAACACCGCCGGAACTTCTACGCAGCTCAACTCATATTCCCGGAGCACCCTGCCCACTCTTGGCCACCCGCCGCGCCACAAATGAGCGAGTTTGCGCCGGTTTCGTCGCGACGACGGCGGCAAATCCTCCCAAATCCGGGCACATCCGTCTTTGGCCGGACGGCCTGTTCAGCCATGTCTGCGGTCGCTGACGGACGGCCGGCCCCGGCGACAAACGGATGGGGCCGTATAATTGAGGCGGCGCCACGGGACCGGCGCCCGGCCCGCAGCGTCACCAGCCTCTGATGGAGGGCGCAGACACACTCCCCAACTCGTAATATTACGACAGCGGCGGTAACGGTGTCTTACACAACACACATGCAATTGCATCCTTGCATGACGCATGTGAAGTAGGTCTGTGGATTTACCATCTGTGCCAATTGAGAAAAATATTTTGGTTTGATTTACCTGCGAGTGATTGCGTCTTTGACGAAAGACAAAATCGATTGACTGTTATACATCGCTATTATTATGAAGAGGGGTTAATCTGCAAACGTAACTACCACAACGAAATGGAGTGGAAATAATTAGTGAATAAGCAGCTTTCAAACATAACGGCCCACAAGGAAGTGAATACGCATCAAGCAGCTATAGCTATCTGCCCAAAATATCATTCTATGAAATAGATGACCTATAGCATATTGGCTGCGGTGAAGCAGAAATCATGAGGAACATTATGGCATAATTGCCTTTGGTTTTCTTTATGACACTCAATTAGACATAATTCTTCCTTGGCAGCTTTTCAGTCGATTGACTTGAGGTGTTGCTGACAGCCATCAATAGGTTGGCAGCGTGCAGTTCCGCATAGTTTCGTCATCTGTATTCATAGGTGGAGTTTTTCCAGGAAGGTTGGCTGGGCAAAAAGTCGTCAAACCCACAATGTCCGATTGTCAACTTGAATAAAATGTGAAACGAAAACAATCCCTATCATAACAGATATTAAAAAAATAAACAAACATTCCAAAGCTCGTCAATGCGAGAAAAATATTGATTTTAAAAGCAACAAAGTCCTACAAATGGGCTAAACTTGGTGGGGTAAGATGCTTATTGGTGGGACAAAATGGCAAGATGGTGGGGCAGCCGCCCCACCGACTGTATACGAAGCTCCAACCTGTCAGTATTTTGTGGCACTGAATGAAACACAGGACACTGCCTCCTTTTTTTGATGCGATATAAACACCACTGGCTGAATATTTCATGTTCTGGTAAGTATTTGTCAAGTATCAGTCTATTATATCCTGCATCAGCAGAAATAAGAAACTCCTACATTAGGTGTACCAATTAAACACGATTGCCTTTTATATCATAATAAATACATTGGCAGAACGGTAACTTCTTCCAGCGCCAGGAATTATGGACTTCAATCGAAGGCACGCCTTCTAGAATAGGCGCTGTGTGAGCCCGCGTTCTTGAAAACATGGAAAACATTGGGGTGACACTTGTCGGCTTTGAACTGTCGCCAGTGAAAAGGATTGGGTGGGGTGGAACAATGAGCTCGCCAGACATAATCTACGGCGGGGGACGCAAATTGTTCCCGGCGTCAGACTAGGTTGAACAGCCGCGAAACACGCTCTGTGGTGAAAGGAAAACCATGCGACTATCTTATAAAGAGATTTACAGCGCTCTCGATGGATTCGAGGCGTTGCCGATGCCGATTGATAATTCAGCTGTTTTGTCCAATACGTAGAAATATCCAAGTTTATGCACAACTGAAGATGTTCGCGCCAGAAACAGCATATCCAGTATCCACCAAACTATTCACAAAAAGCTAGGATATAACTATTTCTTCTACATAAGCACCGTCAAGCACACAGTTGTTGACTGCTAACTGAAACCTCGTTGCGGCGAAACGCATTTAACTTTTGCTTGTTTGCGATCGGCCGAGTCCAGAGATCTCCATCTGGTCTGAACTCGTGCTCCTGCTGACTTCTCACGTGAGTCAGATTGTCCGACACGGCTGGCGATAGCTGGATTAGTCTTGGTGGCGCGTGGGTGATCCCCGCTGGCTCGAGTGTCGGTGCGGAGGCGATGGGCATTCAGCCGGGGCCCGCACGGCCCACTGATGGCTTCTTGCGCTGACCCTCATGCGGGAGAGGTGATCTTGCCCATGATCCGCTGCCTGCTGCCGATTCCGGGTGCTGAAGGCTAGCCGCCGTAAAGACGTCGTTCGGGGAATGTGACTCCACTGGTCAGCGGGCTTAGGCTCAGATTCAGCTTTATTTGCACGGGGTCCACATTACATATTGGCTTTTCACCTACTTACATCAAGGATTGAGTAAAAACCAATGAAGGCGTAATTCTTACTTGGCAGCTTTTCGGTCGATTGACTTAAGGTATGCGCTATTTTAACTGAATCTGCGGATAAGATTGATCACTTTTGAGATGGTGCTGAAAAGTATTATAATGCATAGGCGCGTTTTGACAGGGGACTCTAAATGGACTAATCTATTTTCGGTTGGTCAGTTTTGTTAATTAACAGAGGCTGCGAACTCCGTCATGCTCATCGTGGTGGTGTCAACGACGCTAGACGAGACTGCCGTCGACCCATGCTGGGAAATTTGAGCCGAACGGACAAAATGGCAGTTGCCGTGTAGGGCACAACAAAAAGAGTTTAGTGCGGAAGAGAGCACTTCCGCATATCGATACATGTGGCATGTTTCGGGAATGCCCTGAAAGCAGTTATATTTCAGGGCACTCGCATGTCAACCAACTACTATAGTGATGTAACCAAGAAAATATCAAAGTCATAATTAGGTTTTCATTTTTCAATACCAAATACTACGTTGCTAACAGTTTAAATGAAAAGTACAGTTCTACGTGACAACCGTATGCTCCTTTTTCACGTTTATCAAAAACATAAGTCATTCAATCACAAAAGCAACTTTTTTAGGCATGAATTATAATGATCATGGTATAACATCCACCCAGTGAACCTGAAATGTTAACAATTCTTTTGACGTTTACTGAATGTTTTTTCGATAAATGGTTCGACCAGCTGTTACGCTATAAGAGGAACACTTTTCCGCTGTCTTTATGACCTAACCTGGAAACAGCATTGTTAATGTGGTAACTTGTCATTATTATTGCTGCAAAGCATGCAAATGGACCATTACATCACGTGCATGAGCCATGAACACGTGAACTATTGACGTGAGTGAAGTCGTTGCATCGACAAACTCTGACGCAGGTGTCAGCGGTTTATCTGCCGCCTTTCGTCACTAGAACCGAGCGGCGTTGACAACAGAAAGTTGAGGAAAAGGACACGGGTGATGTGGTACAGCAATTAAAAAGTTGCCGATAAACTGGATGTGTAGATCGTGATCTGATTCATTCATTGTATACGAGTGCTAGAAATGATCAGAACCCAACCACCATGCTCGACATGCGATTTGAGTTACAATACTCTGTTATAACCTAATTCTTTATTTCGACATTCTTTGACGAGCGTTGCATCACTGGTATAGAGCAAGCGCCGGGTCCACTCAGTCACATCCAGCGGGTGGCATAAGCTCCGTACGGGACCTAAGCTGGGAAACAAACTAATTGTGGGATCCAAGCCCCGTGTGGAGCCCAAGCTCTTGCTGGACACAAGTTTCGTGCGGGTCATAAGTTCCGTGCGGGACACAAGCTCCGTGCGGAACACACGTTCCGCTCGCGTGTCGCACCTCCGAGTGCGCCGTCCCGGGCGTGTGTGCGTGTGTGTGCCGAGGTTTGTGGTGTCTCTGAGCGATCGGTATCGGTTCCCGGGGGTGTGGCGGCGCGGGGAGCTCCTAACGACGGCCGGCCGCGCCTAATGTTCCGCTGCAGACGGGCGCCGACCGGCTAATGTCACTGTCTGCACGCCGGGGCACCGAGGTCAATGGACAGATCGAGACCGGACGGCGCGCTGCACAGAGAGGCTCGGTACAGAATAGCACCGAGGCGAACCCGAGCTGGGCCCGGGGAAGAACCCGGGCAGTCGTAACTCGAGCCCGGCGGCCAGGTCGGGTGTGCCCGTGGTGGGTTGACTGAGGACATTTGGAGACACACGTGCGAGAACGAAACATGGCTCATTGTTGCCAAGTTGAATTAAATAAATGAAAAATTATCCCACAGGACGAATGGAATTCAAAAATGACTGTTTAGTATGAAATGCGGCAAAACGTCAGTGGCCAGAGAAAATATAGAATAAATTGTATGGATAATAAAATATATTAATATAATAATAAAATAATAAATAAAATATATGGATAAATTGTCGCTATTGATAGCCGTTATCTGCGATGTTTCACGAATTCGGTTGCTAAGCATCAATCACTGCCAATTACGCCACTTGTGAGAGCCATACATCATGGAAATGCTGCCCCTCAGGATTGCATACCTCATTATTCCATTTTCCAGCTAAATACACTTCCTCACTGAAGCGTGTCCGGTCGCAGGATATCAAACACATTAGAGTCGACATTTGGCCGAGTCGGAGCGGCCGTAAGACATCCACCATCAGTCTCTGTTGATCAAACATGCTGGCCGTACTGGCCTGGACCGTCACTGACCTTTGGCGTCTGCCTTGATCAGTCGCCCTCGGCCGCACCGCGGCATTGATCACTGATCAGCGCGCGCGCCTGATCAGGCCGATCACCGATGCGCGAAAGGACAATTACGACATGTGGAATCGATACGCCGCGGCCCACCGCCAATTGAGGAATGCCACAGAACGGTGCAGGCTAAAAATACTGATGCCGTAATTCAGCGCATTTGCATGTGACGGCATGCTAATGCGGGTAACTCGGAACTGACACAAATTGAATGATAATGACAAGCATACCACACGATAGATATTTGCCATGAAACCAGCGTGACAATCGCGCCTACCTGACATTCAGGGATTAATTGCGTGAGAAACTCTATTGTCATTATAGTGGGCCACCTGCAGATGTTTCCTGGGTAGTCTGTGTAGTGTAGCTCTTCCTGAATCTTTTATCAGACGGTATATGAATGGTAGGGCTGTCAGTCGGATTTTACCGAGCAGCACTCGCAGTGTGGCATGGCTACTCTTCCTGAACCCCATCCGCTTGGCTCCCGAATAGCCAGACTCAATGAAGATTGACTCGGCCCGGTTCCGCGAATCTGTCCGACTTGATATCGATGTCTGAATGAAGTCCAAGAACTCTGGCTAAATAAACCAGGCCCGCTCGCCCGCCCACTGCCCAGTTCTGCTCAATAATAGAATCCCCCGCCGCTCAATAGCCCCAGACGTCAAAAATTCTGCGACCGTTGACTTCGACTGGTCACTGGAACCGTTCCTGTGCATGCCAGCTAAGCGGGAATCAGGTATAAATCAAATACTTGGCATAGCCAGCGCCTAAACTGTGTCGTTTATTGAGCACCCACCCCTTGGGATATCGCATTACGTGGCCGTAAACAGACGTTCTTCTTTTGATTCCCACCGATAAATGTATGTTACGAGAAGGAAACTAGATCTTACTGAGCTCTCACGCTTAACGATACCTGCACGTGCTATGTCCCTGTTCACATTAAACCAAACGTGTCTGCATCAATTGTGTTTTGCTATCGGTGCAACTTTATGTCATCACTAAAATCAGTCAGTCATTATTTGTTAGTGCATACTTCTGTCAGTCATTGACTTATTGTAGTCTAAACCTTTAGTACGCATTACGCATCAATGCAAATTGCTATCTTATTTTCACGTTTCGAGGCCCAGCGTCCCACTAACGACAGCTGGTAGCCATGATCAGTTAGAGCAATTCGCGATCTGCACATTAGCTTGTTTCTTGTTCACAGACAAATACTCCCTGTCCCACATAACCGCGGTAGACACAGCAATCTTCCACAAAAATACCACACATTCCACCTCACCTGTTTGTCATCAGACACCGGTTGTCCCTGAAGTCGCACGAGTTGATGAAGTTGTCGTAGAGCCGCGAACAGTGCGCCTGCCGGCGGCACGCGTCCAACGCATACCCGCACGTGGGCAACGCGTGCACCGGGTACGGGTCCTTGTCTGCGGAGGAAGATATGTGGAGGTGAGCACTGTTCCGTAAATAAATGCAAATGTGAGAAAGGTGGAGCATTAGATATAGATTACAGTTTTATACCGAGCAATGAGAGGTACAAATTTCGTGATGCTCAAAAGAGCGAATTTACCAGCGTGACTTGTCAACCATTTGTCAGGACTCAGGGGCCTCGATTACCTGATGAGCTGAAATCCTGGATAACCAACGACAGCAGTCCACATATTTGCCACGAATAAGCTGACATCTTAAACCGCCATATGTGAGCTTATCCACGCTATGATTGCTGTTCTCTGCCACTACATTTGCTGCAAATCGGCGCTAAACCGGCCGGGTGCGCCGTACAGCGCGACCGGGGCGCGGTGGAACGGCCGGTCGGCCGGCGGTGCCGATCTCACCCCATTCCGACCGAGCGCCGCGGTCGGCCGGGCGGCCCGCTTTGTATTCAGGGCCGGGGCCGGCCGGCGGCAGCCGCCACCGACTATGGGCTGACCGGGCCGCAGCGCGGCTTCATGTCGGTCGCCGCCATTGTGAGCCGTGTCGCCGAAATGACGCCCAGCCGCGCCGCACAAGAGAGCCGCCGCCGCCGGCCGCCGATGCATTAGGCCGTAATAGGTTCGACGCGGGTGTGCCTGTGCCGCCGCCGATCGGTGCCGCTCGTGCGACCGGGAGGGCGACCTCTGTCACCAACCGCCGCGTGCCGTGATCGGACTGGCGGGTTCCTGGAAATCTCCGAATGAAGCGGGGTCAGAGAGCCGGACGGCAGCCGACGTATGCATCCGGCCGCCGAGGAACGTGATGGGTCCCCGGCAAGTTCCGGTGAATTTCAGACCATCTTGATGAGGCGCAGTGACCCTGCATACGACCCGCGGAAGAGCGGTCGAAAGCCCCGTCGCTCGGAGCTGTGTCGGTTCGCGTGACGACTTAATTCGCCGACCCTGGGTTTCCTGAAATGTTCCGCACGTCTGCAGCGCTGCGATCGTTGGCTACAGGCGAAATTAGACGCACGCTCGTCGGGGATACCATCTGATATATTATGGGTCCAGCAGCGTTCATTTCTTAGTTCAACATGGATAATAGCACCATACAAAATATCGTTATTGTAACTCAAATTTCACATTTCACAACAGAAAATTTGTGATTGATTTTGTTTTATAATTGTGGATTTTGTGCGTGTTTGGTCCAGTCCCTCATTTAATTAATGGCGATTGCGATTGAGAGCTCCAATACATCATCAAATTTTCCCCAAAACAACCCATCTTTACAACGCTCCCTACACCAAGCTCTCATCGTTCCCTGAGCGCACTCACAAATACACAGCATGAAAAAGCCAATGGAGATAGCCTGCATCTGAGTGACCAGTGCCCGGCCGTGTCATCTATTAACCAGCACCAAAACACGGGCTGACCTGCGGTGGTCGGCAGGAGCCACCGCCGTCCATCCATCGGTAATTGATGGCGCTCGGTCGACGAGCTACAGTTGGCCTCGGCTGTCTGTGCAGTCCATGCCGTGACCGACCGGCCTCCCGTGCACTGTATCCCAACGCAGAAAATGGCGGCCGATTCCGGATAGAACACTCACACACACGCTGTCAAGCACGATATTTTGCATATAGGTTCTTCTGTCTGCATGTGGCGAATTTGCATTTTCAACGGCTCCATTGGAATGCCCGCAGTCTGACCGTGATATTTTGCACACGCGTGTTTCATGGATCACCGTCCCTACACAGCCCCTAGCTATGTTCTTTCAGACTCTCGGTGGCAAAGTTAGAGCCACTAGCCACCAGTTTATTCCGTGTTCGTCTGCACTAGCTCACCTTTTGCATTCTTTTACGGTTCACAGCACCCTCGTCTACCCTGGGGAATATGTAATCATATACGTTCTACGCCGTACCGCATGCCTCCAGCCCTTCACTCTCGCAAGAAGTGCTGCCTTCGCAGTCCCGTCTGCACCTACCTTTTTGTTTGACGGTGTAGCACGGATGGTCGAACACCAGGTTGCGGTACTTGTTACACTCGGGGTCGATGCGCGGCTCCTTGCACAGACAGGTGGGCTGGAAGAACTGGAAGGCCACCAGAGTCCGCAGCGCCGCCGTACACTTGGTCACTGTGACCGTCGAGCAGGCCACTGAGGGCAAAAACAGACACACAGTCACTTGGTAGCAGGCCACTGCGAGCACAAATAGACACACAGTCACATGGCAGCAGGCCACTGAGGGCACAAACAGACACACAGTCACATGGCAGCAGGCCACTGTGGGAGTAACAGACACACAGTCACATGGCAGCAGGCCACTGCGAGCACAAACAGACACACAGTCAACAGAGCGGCATACACATTGCGAGATCACCACAGCCAACACCATTGTCAACGGGAGTGGCTGACAGACAGCACTGCAGCCCAATCGCCAAACAGCCACGGATCGTGTGTTAACCACATCATCTGGCCAGTTCCAGGATGAGTTTCTCTCTGCTTTTTGCAGCTGATATGTCCTAGAGTGAAGCAGTGCTGTGGTGGATATTTTATCAGCTTGTATATTTTTGGGAAATTTTTGTACCATATTATCAGCCATTGATCACGGTTGGTCCCTGTGACCGTCCTGCGTCCACTCTCAGCGGTGCGTCATGAGTCTAATGTTAGGTGCAGCAAATCAATTGCCTGTGCGTGGCTGACATGACATCCTAATTGGAAGGCAACAAAGCACCCCTGAAAAGACGTGCTGCCCACCAAAGCCTAATGATCTGGGAGCCATTTAGTCAGGTGACGGCCTACTCTTGTTATTAATTACGTCAATTTCAGCGTCACATCGACCGGTACAGGAATTCTAATCCTGAACAATTCGAAGAAGTGTGCGGTCGTTATTCTGCCATAACTGTACGTTAAGATATAGTATTTCAAATGTTCAGGCAGCATTGCTCTAGAAAAGAACTTCAGAATGTAAAAAATGATTTTGATGACCTCACCAGACGAGATATAACCAAACCCTGACTCTGCAATCACAAAGGCATTAGCCGCTGCTGAGTTCAGCCGGGAGCGAAAAGCACAGCCGAAAACAAGGCCTACCAAAGTTGACTGCTCTTCTTCGTCTTAATTTGAACAAACTTCTCAGACCATCCAAACGAGAGAGAACAGAGTAAACATCTCCGAGTGACAGAGATTAGACGGAATTCAAAAGGTGCTAAGCGAAAGACATTGGTTTGATGTGCAGAAGATAACTATGTTACAGCATATGGGGTGAGGTAAAAATAAGCTCGCACAAGTAACATAGAACATTGAGCTAGTCGCAACTGACGATGCGTGCTCAAAGTAATCTGAACTAATCAGAAAAAGCTGCCCCGGCCCAAAAACAAACCAAAAAGACAAACACAGATCATGACACTTTTAATCACTCGAGAGATGCCAAGTTGTTAACACCTAATGCAGATGATGCATGCGTTTTATGTGCTGTCAGTATTAAGGAAGGGAAAGTAAACGCAAAAATATCATTTGTTGAAGAGAAAGAGCAATATCAGAATCCACTTTCAGACCTTTAAATCTCCAACACCGCAAGCATTACTAGATTTATCCAAATATTTCCTTCTATCTCTCCCTCCCGTCCGCTATCCTCGCGCTCTCTGCAGTTTCATGCTCGTCGTATTCGTTCAGGCCGATATTCGGTGCGGCGGTCTGCCTCTATCTCGGCTACTGAGCGGCACGGATAAGGCAGTCATGCATATGAACATGCCCCAGAGAGGGCTCAGATTGCGCCGCGGTGTTATCCCCGGTAGTAGGCGGTGTCTGCAGAGATCACCCTCCCTGCTCCTCTCCGCGGCCCGCAGCTCATGGCGCGGCGCCGTGAGCAGTGCTCCTCAGAGACAGTCCGTCCCGGCGACCCACGTGCTGCTGGCGACAGGCCCGCGGGACAGAACCAGCCACGCGAAAACAGAGGATTTCATATTCAAAGGAGTGAAATGTGGCCGTGGGAGGTCTGAAAAACGGAAGCTGGAATTGCCATGAAAGTTCAACAAAATGAGAAAGATTGACATTGAATTTTTGCAGCTTTTGATTAACCCTCGCCCCGTTGGGGGGCCATTTTGGCCCCCCCCCTGTGGTTTTCCTGAATAGCAAGAAAACGGCGGCGCGCAGCGCCGCCAAATTTTCAGTACCTTTCCGGGCATCAATTTGACACCTTCACACCAAATTTCAAGCCTTAGGTCACCTTAGGTCAGGAGTTATTGAGGTCAAACTGAGGTCATGTTCGAGCAAAAATGAGCAAAAAACATGCAATCTTGAAACGCTCACCAAATCTACAGTTATCAAGCAATTTCAAAGTTCTTTATATGGTCTAATAGACAAAAAGCGGCGCTACAAAACTGCTATCTCGGATTTTCAAAATTTTGGGTTTTTGACCCAAAAAATGTAAAAAAATTGATTTTTTTAGAAAAACTAAAAACAAATCCAAAATTTTTCCGAATTTCGAAAAAGCCGGAATATATGTGATAGTCCCTGCGCTCTTCTATATACATACCAAATTTCAGATCGATATCTCGTTTTTTGGCCAAGTTATAGCGAAAAAACTGTTCAAAAATGATGACGTCAAATTTTTGAACTCAATTTTTAGCGATTCTAGACCTCTTACGGCAAAACAAAGACCACCATTGAACTCCCCGTGACGAGCTGCATCGATTCGATACCCATTTTATGCAAAAATATCAACTTTGAAATTTGACCTTATTTGACCTGACCTTGACCTGACCTTGACCTGACCTTGACCAAAACGTGACCTAAGCTGGCCCCAAAGGCTGCCTGACCCACATAATCGCATTTGTCATGTAAAATGGACCATAAAACATGTATCACACGACACTTTCATATTGTGACCCCCCAGTGACCTGACCTCAGTGACCTGACCTGGTATCAGTGACCTCAACTAGCAAAATATGTGTTTGAAGAACATTTCCCCATCGATGATTTTCAATGAAATGCATTTTACTCGATTTTACAACGCATTTCTTGAAATGCCTGTAAACGGTGAAAATTGGACCTTTGACCTGACCTGTGACGTCATCGGTTTGACCTAGGTCAATAAAATTGGGTCACAAGGTAGTTCCCTGATAGGGCTATCCAACACCGTTTGCCGCTTGTCGCTACGTTGCGTGGTTCTCGAGATCTTAGGGGGGGCCAAAATGCCCCCCCCCCCCAACGGGGCGCGTTGCTCGGCAGAGCCCAACGGGGCGCGGGTTAACAGACGCTTCATCTTAATTTTATATTTACACCAATTATAAAAAGATGCCGCAAAATGAAAGCCAACAAATACAATAAAATAAAAGCTGGAGTTGCATGAATATTGAAACCAGAGCACTCGTTCATTGCAATTGTGGCTGAGAGCATTTACATGTAGGACCACGTACGAACCACCCATGACTGAACAAGTGCCAGGGATTTGGATTAATCTTCTGGGTGATTTTACGCCTACGCGACACCCACGCGGGCTACCATGCATTACGGCCCGCCTGGGGCTGTGCCAGACCCGAGGATTAGACCGTCGGCGAGTCGGCACGGTGTTACATCAGCTCGACCACGACGCCTAACCAGGTTACCGGACGCATTTGGACGGAGCCATAACTTCGAGCTGACCAACTCCCGCAGTGGTGGACGAGTGGCTCAAATAGCTCATCCGCTGCCTGCATTAACGCGCTAATTTAGAATTAGATGCAACTGATGGTGCATCTTTGCTCGGAAGCAGGCAGCAGCAAAAATAAAAAGTGAGTGGACTGGAATTTTGTATCTACATCGAAAAAAAATTGGTTTTAGCTACGCTTTCTGGTGCTATTGGACTAGCCTAGCGGAACAGCGCCAATGAGAGCAAAAGTCGTCTATGAATCTCCTAATTCAAAGCGTCTGTGCGATCTTTGGACGGCCTTTATACCTACGAAAAAAAATATGTTCAAGTAGGTGTGGTGAAAGGTATTACAAATATCCATATTGATATTATTATAGCCAAGGCGAGCGCCGCTCAGAGAGGAGTCACTGTGCCCTGACGTACCGAGCTCCTGGCCGCAGAGCCGCGGGATATGACAACCAATGCGAGGGTACCCAACTCAGAAGAGACACTCAGCGCCTGACGTACCGAGCTCCTGGCCACAGAGGCGCGGGATCAGCGTGGTGATGGAGTGACAGTTGGGGTGGTTGACGCACATCTGACGCGCCATCTTGCAGTTGACGATGGTCGAGACGGTCCCCACGTGAAACGCTGCAACGGAGGGAGGCCAATGTCAACAGGCTGTCAGGCACCCCTGTGGGGATATCGCACCAAGCTCCTATTGATAAGGCACAGATAAACACGATCATTCCCTCAAATTGTTGGTGGCTGATAACAGAAAAATAGGATAGGTCACTTACATAGCATGAATAATCATGCCTACACATAATTTCGACGGAAAGTGTACATTGTAGATTGTAGAGAGTAGTTAATCATTGCTGGCTGACCCTGATGCTCTTTTCGTTGTTATATGTATAACTTCATATAAGTTTGATTTAGACGGATGCTATCGCCATCCCGAGAAACACCTGCCCCAGCCACCCACATCTCGTCTGTTTTTACGCGTTCTCCATTGAATTTCGCCACATCTCTGCACAGTTTGCTCAAATCAGCGCCCTAAAAATAAAAAGACGTCGACAGGGAGTAGCGCGAAGAGCGGAAGTCAACTCTGGACGTCTGACCGGGATGGTTTGTTTGGCGGGAAAATAGTCGCAAAAACAACAGACAAGTGAGTGACTTTCTGAAGTGCAGAGGCCGGATGACACGATTATAAAGTTGGACGACTAAACAACGTCTGTTTGCCGTAGCAGAGACACCAGCGTTTTGACACGGAGCTGCAGGTACTGACGTAATGCTCCCATAAAAGCATATAATTAGATATGCTATTCTTTTGTGAAACGATGGTCACTTAACGCTTCTATATAAAAGCACTACGTGACCCAGATGTAGGTATTAAATCAATAAATCATAGCTAGTAAAAACGTTTTACAAAAGTGCATTGGGTATTTCATAACCACCCAAGTCAATTAAAGTACCTTTGCCGGGCATTGGCATGAGCTCTGCGATCATCTAATTTTTATTACTTGTGACGAACGTAACTATCACTGATATGCCATAATCGCATCATTGTCACTGTCACTGTATCATTGACGTCGATTATATAACAGTAACGTAGGCCGTAATAGCAGTAACAGCACCGTCACAGGTACCGTCACAGGTACCGTCACAGGTACCGTCACAGGTACCGTCACAGGTACCGTCACAGGTACCGCCACAGCTCCGTCACAGGTACCGTCACAGGTACCGTCACAGCTCCGTCACAGGTACCGTCACAGGTACCGTCACAGGTACCGTCACAGGTACCGTGACAGTACCGTCAAAGGTACCGTCACAGCATCCCCACCCGTCACAGGGGACCAGTGGACCTCTGGACAGTGCGAGCATTCCCCTGAGTTCCCACCAGACCCATGCCTGACCCTGTCCGCAGCGCGGGGTCCCCGGTCACACCAAACAGTCCGTTTCTCTCTGCAGCCTCTGCTGAGTGCTGACCTCTGGTGTCGCTCCGGGCGACCAGTTGGACCCACCGCTCCGGTAAAAACTCCCAGCGAACCGTCACCACCAGCGTCCCGCGGCGCCGCAGCAGCCAAGATTAGATTGGAGTGTGGAGTCGCGGCCGCATGTGTCGACAGAGGTTTCAGTTAGTTTGGTTTTACAAGCTCAGCTTCCAGAGCAGTGGTGTGGTACTGAAATGTTTCGCGCTAAGTGAACGGTCGGCTTGGCTTTCCCCAAATGGATTGTGATATTCCTTGCATCATTTCACGTAAAATTTTTACGTTATTTAAATTATATCCGACGAAACGCTTGCATTTTCATCTACGGGTCATCGCCGTTTCATTTCGTCCGTCTGGCTCTGCAGGCCGCCCACACCCGACCCATCACGGCCCGCTCTGCTGACACGAGGCGCGGCGACCAGTTCTATCGCGCGTGACCGTTTCAGCGGCCTCCGTCCGCACCATTAGGTGACCACTCCATTTGTGACGCGTGTTCGAGTGGCCGACAGTGTGCAGTAGACCGGACCGACCGACCGACCGCCCACAGCTGTCCCCGAGGGCAGTGGGCGTCAGGTCAGAACTCGAGAGAGGGAGCTCGGAGGCGCCGAGAGGGGTCAGAGGGTGAGAGATCAGAGATGGGTCAGTGATGAATTATGAGCGGTCAAGTCAGAAGTCAGCGAAATGGCATTGATCTTTGCTCATAGGTCAGTGGTCAGGTCAGTGGCTCATAGGTCAGTCAGTCATAGGTCAGTCAGTCATAGGTCAGTGGCCAGTAGTCAGCAGTCTTTGGTCAGAAGTCCGAGCCGATAGTCAGTATTCAGCGGCCTGTGGTCAGTGGCCTGTGGTCAGTGGCCTGTGGTCAGTCGCCTGTGGTCAGTGGCCTGTGGTCAGTCGGCAGTCGCCCGTGGTCAGTGGCCTGTGGTCAGTGTGGTCACTGGTCAGTCGCCTGTGGTCAGTGGCCTGTGTTCAGTCGCCCGTGGCCAGTGTCCACTGGTCCGCGGTGGTCGGCCAGGAGTCGGGCGGAGCGCAGAGGGGATCGGTCGTCTGTCCGGCGCCGGGAGGGGTAGAGGGGTGTCCGCTGACGGACGACCGCAGCCGTCCGGGAGGGGCCGTCCGTCGGGCCCGTGTGCGACGTTTGATGGGCGCCGTCGCCGCCGCTCGGACCTGGCCGCGCGACGGAAATGACGCCGGGAATGGCCACCCGTCCGAGCCATCCATTGATCAGCGACTGGGCGTGGCACCCCCGCACATGGCTATTCTGAGCTTTCCGTGACATTTCCAAGGCTGAAGTTGTATAATTTGTCAGCTCAAGCATTTGTTCAACTGCTTTATTCTAGTAGGATCACAGAGCGGCTAACGGTACAACGGGTTCTCCCACGCGCAGTCTGCATACAATCCCTCCCTCTCCACTCTCCCGAAGTCCTCCCACGCTCCCCGCTGCTCAATAGGAGCCCTCCCCCTTCTCGCCGTTCCCTCAGTTCCCAGCTCACTGTCCGTCCTTCATAGGAGTCCTTTCCTCTCCAGAGTCCTCCACGTTCCCCGCCTCTCCCCCGGAGTCCTCCCGGCTCCCCGCCGCTCCTCCAGTCCTCCCACGCTCCACTCCATCCAATCAGCGACCTCGGCAGCGCCCGTGGCAAAAACTCCGGTCACGATAATGGCTCTAATCCCGCCAAAGGTGGCGGCGGCCGTGGTCTCAAAATCCGAGACCTCGCCCCCATCGGCCGACCAACACAAAAACGGTCACACCGAGAGCAGATGACCTAATCAACCGGGTCCCGTCTCTTTGGTCCGGCAGTCAGCCATTTGGCAGCTCGGCGCCTTCCGCTGCAGTCGTGGGAGACAAAACCACTTTTTGGAAGATGAGATCAATAAAAATAATCTGAGAGCACGCCTTCTGATTCCTGTTTGTAAACAATACAATTCGTCGCATCCCACCAATCCACAAAATTCGTCTCATCCCATCAATTCCAAATTTCCTAGATCAATTTCTCGTATCGACCTGGCCGGCGCGGCGGCCTCACCCGGCGGCTAAACCACACCTCCCCGGCGCGGCAGGGAGACGTCCGGCTGGCAGCGGTCCGTTGGCCGGCGCCGAGGTGCGAGATGAGCTCATTAGTGTGATCGAAGAAGGCGCCGCGCGCGCCCAGTGTCCGATGAACAGCCAATGACTGACGGAGCCGTCGGCGGATCGTGCCTGGCCGCTGACGGTAGGTACTTAGAAACGGGACGAGAGGCGGCACTGGCAGGCAACAACAGCAGACCTATCTACAGCTCTTTGACCTCCCGGCTGGCTATGACTTAGGAAAGGCAAACGAGCGAAAGGAGACTAGAGGAGAGGCAGGAAAGGGTGAGAAACAGGAGGAACTATAAGGAACCTTGCAACCAAATTGTACTCGCGAGAAGCTCAGCAATCAATAACATTTCATTAAAAATAACCAAAGCGAGGGACGAGTAGCACGGTGAAAATATAGAACATAAGCGAGAAACCAGGCGAGGCACATAGAAATGATGCAAAGAAGAAGCTGGCCGACAGCTCACCAGCGCTCGACTGCAGCTCTGTTTGATGACGACAATGCTTCTGTGACGTGGGAATTCACAGCAGCAGAAACTGATCGGCTCTGGAATTAATCCAACTGTGAAGCTACCGTCCGCTATCGCCAGGAACTGTTGATGGTGCAAGATGAATAAATGTTGAAAAAGCAAGCTGTATTTAACTTTGGAAGTTGATTGTTGAATGGAAAAATGGACATGATATAAGCCTATAACAATTGTGCAATATTGTTTCTAATTACCTGCCCTGCACTATGGGCATATCCCATGTAGAAGTTGTAATCGGAATTGACCTCAGCATCTCCTGTTTCTACTTCCAAAAAATCGAGAAACATGAAGGCTCGGTAGTGTTTCACTATTAAAGTTGCGTTCTCCTGTCGAGATATTTCCGCCCAGTTTCCACGCTCAGCACATCACAGCTCGATTGGGGCCATTTCAGCGACGCTGCTGGCGTGCCCAGACTGCCATGCTCGGCCTCTATCCGGGCACCGGACATTTCCCGCCGCATCCGGGCCGTGCCGAGCGACGGGCCAAACCTCGCCGGCCTCTATCGGCATTCGTCACGCATATACGGCTGGGAGTCGGCGGGCTGGGGCCGGGCCGGACCGGACCGGGCCGCCGCCAGCGGCCGCGGTGTCGAGAGCTCCGAACGCCGCGGGTCGGCGTCGTGTCCGACGACCGTCGGCATTGTGCTCCGTCGTCGAGATCGACCAGTCGGAACTGGGAACCGACCCTGGCCCGCCGCCGCGGCCGATCCGACCGTGCCAGCGCGCCCACCCGGGCTTTTCAGCCTGCCTTCCCCCCCCCCCCCCGACTGCTGAGCTAGTGCAATCTCGCAGGGCCACAGGACTTGCCTTATAGATAACATTAAGCAAACCTTGTGTTTTAGCATGCTATTTTTTAACATTTTTCATTGCCTGATGTCTGACACGCACCAATGAAGTTTCAGGAAAATACCAACATCATAAAACTTTTCAACCGGTCGTTTGCAATCTTCTTCCGGCTCCTATCGCGTTTCAAATATTGACATTACCTTTGAAATACAGCCTGTATGCAACATATGTATGCTGTTAGAAAATTTGCAATTGCAAACGAAATTTAGCGAAACTG